AATTCAGACTGTTGTTGAAACCATTCTGTCAAAAAATGTATCGAGTAAAATGTAAACAAACCAGGCGAAAACCTACAAATTTCAGCCTGTTTGACGTAAAACGATAGATAAAAAAGTAGTTTTAGACAATGTTTTTATTATTAAATAAACAAAACTTACCTGTAAAAAGGTTTAATCCAATTTTTTTAATCCAATTGTTTAATCCAACGACTCGCGGACGACGCCATTTTGCGAAAAAATCTAATATTCACCTATAGGTGAACATCGCTCATTGAAGCGTCAAATTCGACCAATCAGCGCGCTAGAATTATGATATTCACTTATGAAATTATACTAATGTTGCTTATAGTAGATTATATACAGATTTTTGAGGAGAAAGTTAGGCCCTGTCGGGGAAGGGTACCCCATGCATCCCGCAAGGCTAGCTGCGTGTCTGGCAAAATACCCTATCGTTTGACATAGATATCGATGAAATATCATATTGAACTCCTAGTGACAGTAAACTGTTTTTTACTCGGGGTTCCATAGGAATCCCGAGTATAGGTTTGGGCTTTTTTTTTCGTCGTCGTATTTCGGTCACAAATCTCGGCCTAATGCACTGGGTACGAATGTTAAGCCTATCACATGACGACCACATGACTGCATTCACAACTTCCATGTGCTATTTTATGGTGGCGAGTGTGATAACGTGCGATGAAGGACATGAATTCAACTTTAAATACGCTCAAATCACTTACAAATCCACACACCATTCGCGGTATAGCCACACTAAAAGATGTCGAGCGTTTTTCGAAAGGGCATTTTGAGAGATACCGCGAATTTATCGTGAAACTTATCGTGAAATTTATCGTGAACTATCTATCAAACAAGCTACCTATCTTATCAAAAGCGAACTCTATACTAACTGGTTATACAGGCACTGAAACTACAAAGGACTTCTCTAAACAATGCGAAAAGAGTTCTACTGACGAAAAACCGATTGGAAGTATTTTATTTAGCGGAGAAGATAGAAGAGTCTGTGTTTATAGCCAGCCATGTGACTACTATCAAAGTGAGGACAGCTTGCCAAAGATTATCAATTCTTCCAGATCTTCTAAGTTACATAACTATATCAACTTCGGAAAGCTTAGAAGAAAGCACTTTGTCTCAAAATTCAAGAGGACTGATGCACGAACGTATACATCTGAAGGACGAAAGTTGAAGTACGAAGCTAGTCGCTATATTTCTTTGCTTTCTTGTAATAGACCGATGTCTCTTTACAAGACCCACTCGCATGTAATGAACTACT